CATCCAATATAATACCTCTTTCATATAAAATCTGCTGTGCACATCATCATTTCATTGGTCTAACAAAGACAGTTCAACTCCTGGGAGCACCCAGCCTACTTCAAAAAAGATAATGAGCATCAAAGAACCTCCATATGGAGATGGATTCAAATGTGGCAAGTTAGCCACATTTGAATGTCCTTGTTTCTACCACAGACATAATTTTGCCTAAAATGAGCAAGCTTGGATACAGGCTGAGTTAACTACAGAGCTAAGAGAGGGAAGGCAAGACCTTAACAGTTCCTGCTTCAGAAATAGGTCTATCAGATAAAGTAGGCCAGCAATCAGAAGATGATGCTCCAACATTATAGAGTTTTTGGGTAGCTATCCAGGCAGCAAACTGTCTCTGTCATTTTTTAATTTTGGAAGCTCTACCCTGCACTTCCTGTTTACTCAAGGAATTTTATTCCTTCTCAAGTCTCTTCTCAACCTCTTCAAGAGGTTGAAGACTCTCTAAGCTTAGTTGATTAGAGAGTTAAAGGATGTTTTAAGGTATAGATTTTTAGGTAGATAGATAGATATGATGGAAAATAATTTAGATACAAAACTTTAGACTCACCAAGATAATACTTTCTTCAAGGTTGTCAAATACCTTTTAACTAGACATTATTTATGTAAATTTTACCTATTGGCTTTTATGATTGTTTCATAATTATTTTTACTGTATATAATTTTTTAAATGGCCTTATTAATTAGACAGAAAGGGAGAGATGCTGGAGGAAGGTTCAACTGTTTTCAAATGCTGATTTCAGTGCTGTGAGATCTGGTTACCACCCTGCCATGGGCACTCTTATGAATGTTCGATTATTCCTTATAACCGTGTAATGATAAGGAAATGTTCCCCAATTAACCCTGATTGGCCAAATAAAGATGCTGAAGCATATGACTGGGCAGTAAAGAGGTCGGCAGAGCTTTAGGTTCCTGGGCTTGGGTTTGAAAGAGGAGAGAAGAAGAGAGGAGGAGAAGAAAGCAGAAGAGGCAGGGGAGAGAAAGATGGAAAGAAAAAGGAGATGCCATAAGGCAGGATGGTGATGAGCATGTGCCTGTAAGGACAGACTAGTAGAGCTGAAGCCACCCACCAGGAGTCATCAGATTGGGAAGCGATTGGCTTTATGTGGGTTATAAAGGTGCTGGGATTGGAATAGCTCAGAATCTGCCCAGCATAGTGTTTGCAGCTGAATATAAATCATAGTCTCTCTGTGTCAACCATTGGAGAACTAGCTGTTTAAAGAAAATTGCTGCTGTAGTAATTACCTGCATTGATTAATATAGAAAATTTTCTACCATTCTATAACAGTGTGTCACAGAGAGAAGAGTATATGCAGTATTTAATCCAGTGTTATATACCCATTCAATTCTTTTTTAAACCACATTCATTTTATTTGGGGGGGGAGCACAGGTGTCCTTGGAGGCCAGAAGAGAGTTTCAGGCTCTTCTGAAACCCTCCAGGGGCTGGAGAAACAGGCTGTTTTTCAACCTGATGCTATCAGGGAAGAGAGAGCCTAAACTAAGATGCCTCCATGGGACTGGCTTGTTGGCAAGTTTATGAGGCTTTTTCTTTATTAATGATTGATGTGGCAGAGCCCCACTCACTGTGAATGGTGCCAATCCTGGGCAAATTCTCCTGTGTGATATAAAAATGCAGGCTTAGCAGCCAGGCTTGGTGGCCTTTGATCCCAGCACTTGGGAGGTAGAGGCAGGTGGATCTCTGTGAATTTGAGTCCATCCTGTCTACACTGTGAGTTCCAGGACGGCCAGAGCTATATAATGAGACCTTATCTCAAAAACAAACAAATGAACAAACAATGCCTAGCTAGCCTTGAACAACTGCCTGTAGGTAGCCACCACACACACACACACACACACACACACACACACACCCCGGCCATGGCTCTTATCTCAATTCCTACTCTGGCTTCCCTCAGTGACTGACTGTAATTGGCACATACAATCAAAATAAACCCTTTCTTCCCCATTTTGCTCAGTGTCTTATCCCAGCAACAGAAACCAAACAAGAACAGGGTGTCCTCTCCTATATTTGGAAATGTGTTCAGTAAGCATCAAATTTAAAACATCTTCCACCCCAGTCATCCTACTTCTCAATTTTGCCTCAGTAGATAGGTGCCTGTGACTTGTTTTGGTGGGGATTTCTAAGGAAGGCTGACGTCACGCAGCCCACCACAGAAACATGTATTGACAATAAACTTGAGTGTGTGTGTGTATATATATAATGGCTTGCTGGAGTCACATAAAATAATCCCTGCCTGAAAGTGTAATCAAATCACAAAGGTACAACATCCACACTTGGCTTGCAGCAAGCTGGCCAGCTACAGGCTTCGTGGCACAGTTGGCAACAGCTGTTCATCTGAAGCAAATGCTGTCCAGTACAGCATTACAAAGTGCTTCTTCATTGGTGGATTCTTAAAAGGGGTGTCATGAGAAGATTTGGGGACAGAATGACATATGTTACTGCCCAAAATACATTCCAAGGAGTCTACAGATGGCTTTGCTGAGTCAGCTCACACCTGCTTGTGATTTTTGCCTTTGAATCATTAATGAGCTCTGTTGTGTGAGATCATGACTCATTTGAGCCTGCCATTACAATGGGTTATTTTCTGTTGTTTTTGGAGTTAATAAAATTAAAGTGAACATAAAATTTTAAATGAGTATACATGTGATAGGTGGCTCAACATTTAGGAGTGCATACTGCCCTTACAGAGAACCCCAGTTTGTTTCCCAGCACCCACACTGGACAGCTCACAACCATATACAAGTTTAATTCCAGGAGATCCAATGCCTTCCCTTCTGATGCAAATACACACACACACACACACACACACACACACACACACACACACACACGAGAGACAGAGACAGAAAGACACAGAGTGAGAGATGTTGTAAAATAAAATTAAAATTTACTATTGATATTATCTTCTGGTAAAGCTGCGATTAGTCCTAAACCAGCTGTATACCCAAATCAACACAAAGAGACTGGGATTTATTTAGTTAACCTAGAGCATAATGCTGGGCAATAGTTACTCCATCCTAAACCTCCAAACCCTCATAGTTTCCTAACATTTAGATTTTCACATTATACTTGCTTTTTGTGAAATATTATGTCCAATTCATTCTCCACATCATTCCAAGACCTCTCCTCCAGCCTCTCTCTCCCAGCCTCTGCTCCTCTCTCTACTCCTCTGCCTCCCACTCTTTCCTGTCCTCTGGATCCTCCCCTCTTCCTCCTACTGCTCTAAATTGCGGCTGGTTGTTTTATTTTGGCATGTTTACACAAAGTTGAGACAGGTGGTGCTTAGAATAAGTATCACAATGCAATGTCCGGATTGAAACCAGAGAGTGGGGGAGAGAAATCAGCATTTGAATGAACAAGGGTAAGGTGTATACATTCCACAAGAACATCATACCAACAGAGAGAGGATAATAAATCTTAACAAATAAATACTAAAATTACTATACAAAGTAATTGTATATTGTATACAAAGCTCTCTCAGGGCTAGAAAGATGGCTCAGCAGTTAAGAGCACTGGCTGCTCTTTCAGAGGACCAGGGTTCAGTTCTCAGGAGCTATACGGTGTCTCACAACTGTCAGATACTCCAGTCCCAGGAGATCCAGTGCCTTCTTCTGGTGTCACGGCATCTCATGTTCCCAATGCACAGACATATTTTTCAGGACCAGATGGACCCAAGGCTTTTTCAGAGGCACCCATGAAAGGATGAAAGAAACCCAGTCCTGTCAGGAGCGGAACTGGCAAGGCAGGTGTGGGGCTGAGACCTGGACCTCAACGGAACTAAGATTTCAGTTCCTGGGAACTTGGCTCTTTCCCCTGAAGACGCTGGAGTTTTCCCAAAGCACAATGCTCTTGAGATACCAAGTTCCCCTTGTGCAGCATTGCTTAATTACCCTCCTGCTGATATTGTCCCTGGACCACATTGCTCTCCTTCTCCTCCTCCTCCTTCTTCCCCACCTCCTCTTTTGTTTGTTTGCTTGGTTTTGGTTTTTAGAAACAGGGTTTCTCTGTAGCTCTAGCTGTCTTGGAATATGAATTATAGACCAAGCTGGACGCAAACTCACAGAGATCTGCCTCCTGAGTAGTGGGGGAAAAGGTGTGAGCCACGACAACTGGCTATGGTGGTGGGGTTTTGTTTTGTTTTGAATATAGGATCTCCTTTAATTTCAGACTAGACTAGAAGATGGTCTAGAAGATGGTCCTGTCCCCCATCCTCTCAGCCAATGCTGAGAGTCAGTGTAGGACTGGTTCCCAGTGCCCACACTGAGAGGCTCACAACCACCTGTTAGTCCAGTTCCGGGATCTTACGCCCTCTTCTGGCCTCTGAAGACGCTGCATGAAAAGTAAATAAAAAATTAAACAAACAAACAAAACTTAATTGAATTCTTCTGGCATTAGGCAGGTTGTAGTTTAAAGTCTGAGTTTTAGGACTATAATAACTCTTCGCAGCTGTGGATGGGAGGTCAGTATCTTGTGATGGAAACTGAAGAACAAAACATTACAATATAAAAAACAAAAACCGACTACTTAAGTGGCCTCCACAATATATTGGCGATACAAGAGAAAATGAATAAACTGGTAGACAGCATGATAGAAATTACTAAATCCAAACCACAGACAAATAGCCTGAAAATGTATTACCAAACCACTGCTGATCGTACACGCTTTTAATACCAGCACTTTTGAGGCAGAGGAGGGTGGGTATCTGTGAGTCTGAGGGAAGCCAGGACTACACTGTCTCGGAAAAACTTAAAATAACAACACAGCATTTCAAAGGTGAACAAACCGAAAAGCTATTAGAAAAGCGAACTCCCAAAACTCTATTTCCATAGACCTCTCTGTACTTGAAATTGCACGGAATTTATGGACACTAGTACCGGAAAAGTACCAGAGCTTCCGCTGAGGCATTCTGGGAATTGTAGTTCCAGCGCCAATGGCGGCCGAGGTCGCTTCCGCTCCCGGGAGGCGAGGCTCCCAGCTGAGCTCCTGGTGAGGCGAGATCCGGGGCGTCCCGG